TGTAAAGGACAATAACTAATATGGAAGTTTTACTAATGTGATTCAACAACAAATTCGAGCAAAGGGAGAAATGTGGCTCAGCAGTTGAGAATACTTGCTGTTACTGCTCTGGCAGAGGACTTGAATTCATTTCCCAGCATCCAAATAATGTGAATCACAACTAACTGTCTGTAACTCCAGCTCCAGGGGATCCAATACCCTTTCTTGTCTTCCATAGGCACTGCATCCATGTACACACACACACACACACACACACACACACACACACACACACACACATAAATAAAAATCACTATGTTGATTGATGCATTACAGTAGATTAGCTCAAGGAGAAAAAAAAGTCTTAGCTGGGAGACAAGCTGAAATGTGACATTCAGGCATCAATAAAAGATAAGGATGATCATAATTTGTTTAGAATTCTGTGATGAGTTCAAGAAACAAAACTTAAGAATCCATGGTATAGAAGAATGAACTGAGATTAAAACAAAGAAACAAACTGAAGGCATAGAAGACATCTTACATAAAATTATAGAAGAAAATTTCCCAAGTCCATGCAGAGAAGTGGACATCTAAACACAAGATGTATTTAGAAACCCAAGAATAAATGAACAAAGAAGACCCTCTTCACAACACATTTTAGTTAAAATGTGATCACTACAAAGCAAGACAATACTAAAAGCTGAAAGAGAACAGGAACTTATTTACAAAGACAAATTCATAATAATGACATCAGACCTCTCAGCAGAAACCATAAAAGCTAAGACAGAATGGAATGACAGATTTCAAGCCATAAGAGTAAAGAAAAATGCCAATGAAGGTTATTATGTCCAGCAAAGTTACTTTTTAAAATCAATGGAGTAATAAATACTGGATAAACACAAACTAAAGTAACTCATGACCACTAAGACATCATTGCAGAATGTGCTTAGTGGAATTACATACATTATACTGTATTTACATTTTCCCCATATCATACTTTCCCTTCTACAACTCCTCCCATGTCTACCTTACTCCTTCTCAAATTGTGA